TACTACTACTACTACTACTACTACTACTACTACTTCTATTACTACTTCTACTACTACTACTACTACTACTACTACTACTACTACTACTACTACTACTACTACTACTACTACTACTACTACTACTACTACTACTACTACTCGTATTCTTCCTGCTCGTGTTTTTCACGGCGCCGGTGACGGCGGCGGCGAATGTTGCCACCGCACTTCCTGCAACTTGAGGCGTAGAAGAATGTCAAGACCTGTCTGCCAAGGTTTCTGTCATCTTCTGAGGTTCCCCCCAAGGCAAAACAGTGCTGCTCCCGAAAACTCTTGAAAGCGTCTCATTCCGACCTCCCCCATCATGTCCGCCTCCCTCTTCCCCCTTGAGAGTCGTCCTCCAGGGTCGGCGGCACCGGCCGTCAGGCCTCAGCAATAATTACCTCAGTGCGACCCTACCTGGAAGTTTGAGCCCCTAGGAAAGCAGCATGAGTTGCTATGCTGTGCTGTGCTATGCTATGCCATGCTATGTTGCGCCATGTTATGCTGTGCTTTGCTATGTTACGTTATGTTATGTTATGTTGCGCTATGTCATGCTGCGCTGTGCTGTGATAAGCTATGCTATGCTATGCTGTGCTATGCTATGCGATGATATGTTAAGCTGCGCTATGCTACGCTATGCGCTGCTATGCTATGCTATGCTGTGATATGATATGTCATGTTGCGCTGTGCTATGATAAGCTATGCGATGCTATGCTATGCTATGCTACGCGATGATATGTTAAGCTGCGCTGTGCTATGATGTGCGCTGTTATGCTATGCTGTGCTATGATATGATATGATATGATATGCTATGCTATGCTGCGCGATGCTATGCTATGCTCTGCTATGCCATGCTATGCTTGGTTATGTTATGCTATGCTATGGTATGCTAATGCAGCGCTGCGTTTTGCTAAGTTAAGCTACGCTAAGCTAAGCTAAGCTAAGCTAAGCACCACTTGGTGCAGCACCACCTGGTGCCGAGGCGGGCTGTGCAGCACCGCTGAGCGCCTCACTCCGCCAACCTCGGGACATGAGCGTGGGCGGCTGTGTGGCAGGGCCTCCGGACTTGAGCCGAAATTGTTACGGAAGGCACTACTTACGGGGGCTCCGGTCCGGCCATCGAGGCTAGCTCGGCATCTGTCGCACATTCCTTTTGCTTTGCCTTTCCTTTGCTTTGCTTTTGCTTTTGCTTTGCTTTGCTTTGCGTTGCTTGTGCTTTGCTTTGCTGTCGCTGCTGTTGCTTTGCCTTTGCTTTGCTGCTATGCTATGCTATGCTCTGCTCTGCTATGCTATGCTGCGCTGTGCTATGCTGTGCTGTGCTGTGCTGCGCTATGTTATGCTATGTTATGCTATGCTGCGCTATGCTATGCTATGATGGGCTATGCTATGATATGCTGTGCTGAGCTATACTATGCTACGCTATACTATGCTATGCTGTGTTCGGCTATGCTAAAGCTCAGCGAAGCTAAGATGAAGGTAAGCTAAGCTAAGATAAACCTGAGCTAAGATGAAGCTAAGCTAAGCTAAGATGAAATAAGCCTATAGCTTAAGATGAGACAAGCAACGCTAAGCTAAGGGGACGTAACTGGGGGAACCGCGGGGCGGATACTGGGGGAACCGCCCGGGGCGCTTTCCACTGCCCGGCCCCTTTAAGCCCAGAGAGTAAGAACCCTTCTAGGCAGAGCCTAGGTAGGGATGACAATTACCCCAGTGCGAACCTACCTAGAAGTTGGAGCCCCTAGGACAGCAGCATTAGTTGCTATACTGTGCTATGCTATGCTATGCCATGCTATGCTGCGCTATGCTATGCTATGCTATGCTATGCTGCGCTATGCTATGCTATGCTATGCTATGCTATGCTATGCTATGCTATGTCATGCTGCTTTGTGATATGCTAAGCTATGCTCTGGTATGCGATGCTATGCTAAGCTGCGCTATGCTATGCTGTGGTATGATATGCTATGCTATGCTATGCTGCGCTATGCGATGCTATGCGATGCTATGCTTGGCTATGTTATGCTATGCTATGCTATGCTATGCTATGCTTGGCTATGCTTGGCTATGTTAAGCAAGGACGCGCCAACCTCGGGACATGAGCGTGGGCGGCTGTGTGGCAGGGCCTCCGGACTTGAGCCGAAATGGTTACGGAAGGCACTGCTTGCGGGGGCTCTGGTCCGGCCATCGAGGCTAGCTCGGCATCTGTCGCACATTGCTTTTGCTTTGCCTTTCCTTTGCTTTGCTTTTGCTTTTGCTTTGCTTTGCTTTGCGTTGCTTGTGCTTTGCTTTGCTGTCGCTGCTGTTGCTTTGCCTTTGCTTTGCTGCTATGCTATGATATGCTATACTATGCTACGCTATGCTATGCTCTGCTATGCTATGCTGCGCTGTGCTATGCTGTGCTGTGCTGTGCTGCGCTATGCTATGCTATGTTATGCTATGCTGCGCTATGCTATGCTATGATGGGCTATGCTATGATATGCTGTGCTGAGCTATACTATGCTACGCTATACTATGCTATGCTGTGTTCGGCTATGCTAAAGCTCAGCGAAGCTAAGATGAAGGTAAGCTAAGCTAAGATAAACCTGAGCTAAGATGAAGCTAAGCTAAGCTAAGATGAAATAAGCTAAGTAAGATGAGACAGCAACGCTAAGCTAAGGGGACGTAACTGGGGGAACCGCGGGGCGGATACTGGGGGAACCGCCCGGGGCGCTTTCCACTGCCCGGCCCCTTTAAGCCCAGAGAGTAAGAACCCTTCTAGGCAGAGCCTCGGTAGGGAATAATCTATAAATATTACAAAAATGATCCAAAATACTCGAAAAATCTTCCCCCTATTCTTTTACTACTTTTCAGTTTTCCTCTTGTAGAGGGACAGGCCCGACTTAACATTATAATCTTGCGCCGAACTGCGGCAGCAGTCGACTGGGATCCCGCTTCCGAGCGTGAAACACCGCGCGCACTTGGCGGGGGGCAGACGGGACGCGATGCAGCCCCCAGCATACCACTTCTCGTGGAACGCCTTCAGGTCCTCCTTCGTCCAGCCCTTGATCTGCTCCTCCTTGCCCAGGTGGCCGGCTGGCCACACCCCAGAGATCCAACGCATTGAAAAAATCAAGACGGAGGTTTTTCACCCTTTTCGTCCTCTAGGGGCCCTCGCCGGGCCCCAGGACCGTCAAAAACGACTCTGGATGAAAAACTGGTCCCAGGCAAGGGATCGGGACCTCAAGGGACCCCGTATTGAAAAAATCACGGCATCGGATCTCTGGGACCAAGGCGCAAGGGGGGCCAGGAGCGAGCCGGACACATGCCCTCAGGAGGCAGAACAAACAAGCAAAGTCTGCCGGCTGTGAAAGGCGTTGACTGTTTGTTGTGGCGCCAGGGGGGGGGGCCTACTCGGTCGTCCTCTGCTGACCCCCAACCCTCTCCCCTCCAGGGGCACGCGACCCCAGTGGCTCCTTGCCGATCGGAAATTGCGTCCCGAGCTTGTTCGTCTCGTGCAGGCCCGAAAGGGTCCAGGTTTCGATGCGGTACTCCATGTCATTGACCTCGCACCGCGAGTCGGGATCTCCGCCTCGTCCTCCTCCTCCTCCTCCTCCTCCTTCACCTCCTCCTCCTCCTCCTCCTCCTCCTCCTCCTCCTCCTCCTCCTCAGCATCATCATCATCATCATCATCATCATCATCATCAGCATCATCAGCCTTACCATTGTTTACAAGATCCGTCTTCTTCATCATATCTCATCATCATCATCATATCATCATTCTTCATATTCATCATCATCATCTGGCTAGCAGGAGCATCTCATCACTACACCACAATCATATCATCATTCTGAATCATATATCTCTGCATCCATCTCATATAATCACCATCTCAACCACCATCTATCATCAGCTGCAGCAGTCTTCATCAGACCGGCCTCCTCTCCTCCTCCATAATCGTCGTCTTCTCCTCACAGTATCCTCCAACTTCTTCCCCCTCCTCGTTGCTTTTCGCTTCTGCTTATGCTCCAGTTCGCTCTGATCCTGCTCCTGCTTCTCCTTTCCTCCTCCTCTTCCTCCTCCTCTCCTCTCCTCCCCTCCTCCTCCTCCTCCTCCTCCTCCTCCTCCTCCTCCTCCTCCTCCTCCTCCTCCTCCTCCTCCTCCTCCTCCTCCTCCTCCTCTCGTGCGGAAGTGGCGGCGGCAAATGGGGAGGGAGGAGGGGGCCACGAAACGCTGTACTGGGCGTGCGGGACGCATGCGGGCGGTCCCAGTGTGACCTTCGATGGGGTTCCCTATGGGGCCACGAAGCGCGGCACTGGGTGGGCGAGACGTAATGAGGAGGGAGGAGGGGGCCACGAAACGCTGTACTGGGCGTGCGGGACGCATGCGGGCGGTCCGTCTGGGACCTTCGGTGGGGCTCCCTATGGGGCCACGAAGCGCTGCACTGGGTGGGTGAAACGCAAGCAGGAGGGAGGAGGGGGCAACAAACGCTGTACTGGGTGTGCGGGACGCATGCGGGCGGTAGCACTGGCACCTTCGGTGGGGCCCCCCATGGGGCCACGAAGCGCTGTACTTGGTGGGTGAAACGCAGGGAGGAGGGAGAAGGGGGAGGGGAGGAGGAGAGGAGAGGAGAGGAAAGGAGAGGAGAGGAGAGGAACGCGGTGCACCGTCTCTTCAAAACAAAGGCCCAACACCAGAGGATGGTTGGGAAAACAACAAAAGGTAAACAAACAGCAACAAAAACGCCTGGCCAGATTTCCTGAGCCCCAAGACCAGCCAAAAAACGTAACAACCAACGCCTGGCCAGGTTTCGTGATCCCCCAGACCAGGAAGAAACAAAAACATAAAAAACGTCTGGCCTGGTTCCGCGAATTCCAAACCAGAAACAACCAACGCCTGGCAAGGCTTCGCGAGCCCCCAGGCCAGAAACAAAGACACGGGGAAACACGCTTGGCCAGGTTCCCAGGAGCCCCATGACCAGAACAACGAATAATGTGCCCAACAAAAAACATGACAGGGTTTTGCGGGCTCCCATACCAGAAACACAAAAAAACACAACTGCTGGGTCAGCTATCGTGAGCCACCAGATGAAAGAACAAGCGTTCAAAATAACACACTTGTTCTTCACAATTCTGTCATACTCTGCTCCGCTCCCCTCTACTCCACTCTGGTATCCTATCGATTGGCTGCCCTGTATTATACTCAACTCCATCAGCTACTAAACTCTACCATGCCCTACTCTACTCAAGGTGGTCCCCTCTCAACTCGGTCTCCAAACTCTCTCCTCTTCCCTGATCTGCCCCTGCTCGACTCTCTGCGCTCTACCCTCTACTTAGAACTCTGATGCAACCTCCTCTACAGTATAATGTGCGCTGACAACTTTACTCTCTACTCTCCATTCACTACACTGAACTCTCCACTCTCTGCTCTACTCTATCCTCTACTTTCTGAGCAATATGACGTTCTACTCTACCATGCTCTACTGGAGTATCTACTGTAGTGTAGGGTAGAGGGTGGAGTAGAGCAGAGAGTCGAAAATAAGAGTAGAGTAGAAACCATATTGGAGAGTAGTGAATGGAGCGAATATTATGGATACAGAGTCAATGGTAGAAGCTACAATAGTTCAGGGTAGAGAAGAGGTTCAGGTGAAGCAGAGTTGAGCACACAGCAGAGGGAATATGATGACAGAGAGTAGAGAATTGAGGGCGGATGTTACGTTATACGAAGATAATTATGACATATGGGAAGCGTAAAGCGAGCGTGGACAGAAGAGCGAGATAGTGTGCGGAGAGGAGAGTGTCACAGGGAGTATGATCACAATTGGATGAACCGTTTATTCGAATAAGAATTCAATTGGACTCGACATTTTGCAGAGGATTGCAATTGAATTTGGTTAAGGATCCAACCAGAGTTCAATAGGGATTGAGCAGACCCCAGACACAGAGGATCTTGACTTGAAGCAGAATCCAATCGGGATTCAGAGGAGAAGGAGGAGGTGAAGACTGGAACAGCGCACGGAAAAGGTAGATCTTGGGAGGGGTGCGTGTGTATATCTATATATATATATATATATATATACATACATACAAATAAACATAAACATCTTTCCATCCATACACCTCTACTACCCAGGAGTAGCCCCCCCCCCCCGAAATCGGACCCCCGAATCCCGGGCCCCCGGGACACTCTGGACCCCCCGGATCCATGGCCCCGGGGACCCCCTGGACGCCCCTGCAGTAGGCCCCGCAGGCGTTTCAGAGCTCCTGAAAACCCTTGCTGGGCCCAGGCGACGGGCCCAAATCGGTCAGGACGACGGCCGAACGCCCCCCACCGAGGACCCCAAACGGCCCCAGACACCCACCAACCGCCCGAAGACGACCCAAAGGAGACCCCCAAGAGTCTTCCCATTCACGGAAGAAAACATTGATGTCCCAAGGTTTCTGCATGATTGTGTAATTGCCTTGTTCTTCGGTCTTCTGGGCGTCCGAGACCGCCTGGAAAGCTCGAAAATCGTCCCCAAACCATGCGAAAGGGCTTACAAGCAGTCCAACAGAGCCCCGAGACGGCACAACTGGGTTCCAAGATGGCCTAAGAGAGCCCCATGACGGCACAACTGGGTTCCAAGATGGCCAAGAGACCTCCTCCTCCTCCTCCTCCTCCTCCTCCTCTTCCTCCTCCTCTTCCTCCTCCTTCTCCCCCTCCCTCCGCCTCATCCTCCTCCTTCTCGCACCGCACGCCACACTCCTCCTCCTCATCCTCCTCCTCATCCTCCTCCTCCTCCTCCTCCTCCTCCTGCTCCTCCTCCTCCTCCTCCTGCTCCTCCTCCTCATCCTCCGCCTCCTTCTCCACGTCCTCCCTCCTCCTCGCCTCCCCCATCCTCCTCCTCCTCCTCCTACTCCTCGCCCTTCCCCCTCCCTCCTGAGCCCTCCTCCCTCCTCCCTCCTGCCTCCTTTCCTTCCTCCCTCCCCGCCCCCCCGCCCCCCTCCTCGCCTTCCCTCCGTTCTCCTCCGCCCCCTCCTCCTCCTCCTCCTTCTTATTAGTAGTATTAGTACTTATTATTATTATTAGTAGTAGTAGTAGTATTATAGTAGTCGTAGTAGTCGTAGTAGTAGTAGTAGTAGTAGTAGTCGTCGTAGTAGTAGTAGTAGTAGTAGTGTCGTAGTAGTAGTAGTAGTAGTAGTGTAGTAGTAGTAGTAGTAGTTAGTAGTGTAGTGGTAGTGGTAGTAGTTTGGTTGTGTAGTAGTAGTAGTAGTAGTAGTAGTAGTAGTAGTAGTAGTAGTAGTAGTAGTAGTAGTAGTAGTGTAAGTATTAATACTATTAGTGTTGATACTACTATTATGAGTATTATTATTATTGGTATTAGCAGTAGCAGTAGTAGTAGTAGTAGCAGCAGTAGTAGTGTCATTATTATTATTAATAGTATTAGTATTATTAGTAGTAGTACTAGTATTAGTGTTATTATTAGTATGATTGGTATAATTATTACTCATATATTATTAATAAGTATTATTAGCAGTAGTATTAGTTGTATTAGTATTGTGTTTCTTCTTCTTCTCGCCACGCACGCCTCGCTCATCCTCCTCCTCCTCCTCCTCCGCCTCCTACTCCACGTCATCCCCCCTCCTCGCCTCCCCCTACTCCTCCTCGCCTTTCCTCCTACCTCATGCGCCCTCCTCCCTCCTCCCTCCTGCCTCCTCCCCCCCTGAGGAGGAGGAGTGAGGAGTGCGGCACGAGGAGGAGGAGGAGGAAGAGGAGGAGGCGGAGGGAGAAGGAGGAGGAGTGAAATGTGGGAGGACGGGAGGAAAGGGTGGGTGGAACGAGGAGAGAGGGGGCGGTGGAGCAGTGAACGGTGGAGTAAGCATTGAAATATGTGGTTGGTTGTTGTTTGGGATGTTTCCTTGTGTGTTTGGGTTTTTCGGCCGTCTGTCACTGGTGTCTTTGGCTTTCATGTGTGTTGTTCTTGTTGTTCAACGCCTCCATTCCACTCCTCCTCCATTCCTCTGCTCCTCCATGCCGCTCCCTCCTCCGCCCCGTCATTCTCCTCCTCCTCCTCCGAGGTGGAGCAGGAGGAGTTCTGCTTCTCCCAAGGAGGAGGAAGAGGAGGAAAATGAGTAAGGCCAGGAGGAGGAGGAGGCGGTGGAGGGAGGGGGGGAGAAGGATGAGAAGTGAAAGGGGCGGGGACGGGAGGGTGGGTGGAACGAGGAGAGAGGGCGGTGGAGCAGTGGAACGGTGGAGTAAGTATTGGAATCGTTGTTGTTTGTTTGTTTGTTTGGGGGTGGTCATTAATTTCTTTGGTGTGTCAGCCGTCGGTCTGTGTTTTTGTTTGTGTTTGTTGTGCTTCCCTGTCTTTGTTGTTTTTCAATGCCGCCATCCCCTCCTCCTCCTCCTCCTCCTCCTCCTCCTCCTCCATTCCACTCCTCCTCTATCCCACTGCTCCTCCATTCCGCTCCGTCAGTCTCCTCCTCCTCCTCCTCCTCCTCCTCTTCCTCCTCCTCCTCCTCTGTGGAGGAGGAGGGGGAGGGAGGGAGGAGGGAGGGAGGGAGGGTGGAGGAGGAAGGCGGAATAAGAAGAGACAATGGAGGAGGAGGAGGAGGAGGAGGAGGAGGAGGAGGAGGAGCTCCCCCCAAAACAACTCTATGCGTTTTTGCAGGCGTGGGCAATACGCCAGGACCCGCATATACATACAGATCTATATATATATATATATATATATATATATATATACACACATACATACATACATATATGTGCGTGTGTATATTACCAGGGGGGGAGCTGGATCGTACTGGCAAGTGTTTCCCGAGAGCAAACAGCGATCGAGGAGGAGGAAGAGGGGAGGAGGAAGAGGGGAGGAGGAGCAGGATTCAGCATTGAATCGTCGTCATGCCAATCACTGACCGCCACTCCCACCATCTTGCGAGATCTACGGTCCAACCTGGGCCGCAGGCAGGGGAGGTAACAGACGTGAAGCCCTGTGTTTCGAGGGACGGATCAGCCGTGAGGAGCGGGAGGACCACGGCCTCGGCAACCACGGCCACCAAACGCGCACGCCTCGGGCGACCGTGAGATCGGCAACCATCGGGCGCTGCCGAAGGAGAAGACGCTGCGTAAGCGTAAATTCTCGGAGCTCCGCGCGGAGCTCCGGAAGTTCAACGACGAAAAATCTGCCGCCCCATGAGAGGGGACGGGCCTGCTGCATCTCCGCGAGCACTGCCTTGCGCTCCTTCTCGATGCGGGAGTTGAGCATCTCCGGCTCGAACGCGATCTCGTTCAGCGCCCCCAGCGCTGGGACGAACCTCCGCGCTGCGGTTTGGGGAGGCGGGCGAGGCTGGCAAAGGCAAAGCCTCGGGGCGCGCCACGCCCCCGGCAAAAAGCAGAAGGCAGGAAAGAGGAGGGAGGAAGAGGGAGGGAGGGGGAGGACGAGGAGGAGGAGGGAGATAAAGAGGACGCTACTACTGCACACAGCGTTGTGTCCTTGGGGGGGACTCTTTGGACGAAGTCCTGGTACTGTCCAGAGCAGGGAAACAAGAGCATCGTAAACCAGCAGGCCCCTCCGCTTGCCCAGGGTCCCGTCCGCTGAGATTTGGCGAGTAAGACATCCTGTTGAGGAGCGGACCTCCGCTCCAACCAAAAGCCCTTTGCCGAGTTGCCCCAAAAATCAGGGTCCAAGGATTAAGACGCATTTGCTGGGCATTGCTTGCAGTCTGGAACGATGTGGTACCAGATGCACTGAAAGAAAGATGCATTGAACTCATTGCATGTTACACCACGAACGCACTTCCAGGCAGCACGTTCAGCAAGTCCGCACCAGCAAGCTTGCATCGAAGATCCTTCGGGCAGCGTCTTGAATGTACGATGCGCTACGCGGTCACCGACACGCTGCGCAAAGTGTCAGAAAACACGCCTTCACCTGAACACGATGCACTGCCATCCACCCACTGCACGTTCTGACGCCGTCTGGTGAGTACCAAACAGTCTCTGCTGCCCAGCGCACACACACACACTCGTCGTGCGCGCGCGAGCACGTTCTCTAACACACACGCGCGCACCGACCCGCACGCTGCACGGGGTGCCCGAGGCTGCGGTCCGCCGCGCCGCAGGAATGGGGTGTGGCACCGCAGGGCGCGACACACTTCCAGCACCGGCGGCGATGCCGGACAGCTGTGCGCCAGGGGAGAACACTGGCCAACGCGACGTGGCCTCGACCGCACTCGGGCACTGTGCGCCGCGGTGCGACACCCATGGGTCGAGAAGGGCGGAGGCAACAAAAGGACTGCGAAGCGTACGCGTCAGGACCCTTCGGCGCGCCAGGCAGCTCAGCTTATAACGCGATTCGCACGTGGGCTCGTCGTGGAAATGCGACGCTGCGCCTTGCTACAAGGCCCAGCCCATGCAGCTTCGCAGCCATTCAGGCACGCATAACACATGTACACACACACACACACACTGCTTGGCGTCGCGGCCATGCGCGCGGCGGCGCGGCGTAGGCACACACACACACACACACACGCGCGCACACCCACGCACACACACACACACACACACACACACACACACACACACACGCGCGCACGCGTGCGCGCGTGCGCGCGCGAGAGCACGCCCACAGACACACACGCACATACACACACACACACACACACACACACACACACTTGGCACGAGTGCTTCGAACGACCGAGAGGACTGCACGCATCATGCACTTCAAATATGTTCACGAACGCGCGCGCGCGCGCGCTCACTTGGCCAAGCGTGCGCAAGCAAGCACACGATCCCTTCAGATCAGAAAATACGCGGACATGTCTCTGCCGTTCTCGAGCTTGTTGGGCGCGTGGATATGGTAGATGGTGTGCTGGAAGTCGGTCAGCGCATTGGAGCGAGAACCAGTGCCGACCTTAAGGCACGGACCAACAGCATGACCAAGACACTGTGTCAACCGACTTCGCTTGGATCTGCGATCGCGATTGCGCACGCGTGCGTCAGAGAGATAAGATCGCAGCTAACTCGAAGCGTCGTTGACAGCCTGATGCGCACACAAAGGAAGCAGCCTTGATTGGGACGCTATCTTGCCGAGGTGCCCGCCAGTCCCTGGCGCTTCCTGCTGCCGAGGAAGCAGACGTGTTCCATCATGTGAGCGATGCCTTGCTCGTGAGGCTCCTGAGGTGGCAGATGAGCTCTTCGTCACGTCCCTTTCATCACTTTTGATGTGCTGCCCCTGACTTTTTTTGGAGGCGGGAGAAACTGCATGAAGATAAACTTTGGGAGGTCCGGGCGCATTTCTTGGAACTGGGCCCGGACCCCCTCCCTGGCGCGCGGGGCGCGCTAGAGGCGGCGCCGGAGACGCCGCTGGGGGGGCCTCAGCGCGGATCCACGACACCCGCGCGGAGCGCCAAGGGTCTCTGTTTGTGGCGTTGTTTCTTCGCCGAAAGGTCAGGTTTGTGCTGTTTGCTGTTCTTCGGGTGCCGTTCGTCATTCGATGATCTTCAGAACGTGTGTCAGCCCCGACGTGTGCTTGTCCATCGAGGCCCTTCGATACGACGCAGGCGATACGACGAGTCTCTGCTTGTGGCGTTTTTCCTTCGTCGATGTCGGTGGCCACCCTCGGCCGAACCAGCGACCGTTGAGGCCACCTTTCGGCCCCGCTGCGCCTCCCACACGGCCACGCGAGCGCGCGGCGCGCCTGTAGAGCTTACCCTTAGGTCGGGCATGTCCCCCTGCAGGCGGGTTCTGGACGACGAAAAATAGAAACTACCCCCAAAGTATGCAAACATGCCCAAAAACAGTCCAGACATCGTCCCCTGACTATTCTGGGGGGCCGCATGCGAACCCTACCCCTGCCCCACACGAACCCCACCCTCCCCCTCAGAAATCGTGGGGGGCAGGGGTAGGGTTCGCATGTGGCCCCCTACCCAGAGATCCGATGTCGTGAGTTTTTCCATGCGGGGTCCCTGCAGGTCCCGACCCCTTCCCCGGGACCGGCTTCTCATCCTGAGTCGTTTTTTGACGGTGCTGTGGCCCGGCGAGGGCCCCCAGAGGCCGAAAGGGGCGAAAAACCTCCGTCTTGATTTTTGTCAGCGCGTTGGATCTCTGGGCCCCCAGACTGTTTTCTGACTACCCTCGAAGATTCCTCCTGTCGAGGGGCACGCCCGACCCAAGCCCAGCCCGGAGACGGGGGGCGCCCGAGCAGGGGGAGCTCCCCGAGCAGGCCCAAAATGGCCCCTAGAGGAGGACCCCAAAGGGTGCCATGAGAAGCCAAAAACAACAATTTCCCATTGGCTGTTGAGCGGTGTTCATGGTCTCGCCTTTTTTCTACATTCGGGAGCCCGTGACGGCCCAAGCTGCCTCCAATCTAGCCCCAAGAAGGCGGCCAAAGAGGCACCCAAGAGAGCACCAGGACGGCCAAAGGGAGCCCCAAGATGGCCCAAACAGGACCCGAAAACGGCTCAAGAGGCCTATATGTCGTATTTTGCTTACTCCCAACTCTGACATGTCAGCACATCACTTCAGCAATCTCTTTGCTGCCTGCACTTGAGACAATTTTCTGCTGCCTGGAGGCTGGCCCTTGGCAACCTTGCGGAGCTGTCTCCTCCCGTAGTGTCCGACGAGACGGGGGCACGGCTTCCTTGAGTGCCGCACTGCTTTGGTCGCGATACAGCCACAACCAAAACAAACAGTGCTGCCCCTCTCTCGGCTATACCAAAGCAGATAGGACTGGTGGAGCTGGTGGCAATGAATTACAGCGGCGTGCGGGATCATAACGACCCCGTTGAACAAAATCTATCCGCGAGGGCCCTCGGAGCCGACCCCCCGAAAACCTTACAGGTCACCCTAGAACCCCATCCTAACTCAGGGGAATTGGCGGTGAGCACCAGCTGCGTCTTATAATCCCGAGCCTGCTTAGACAACACCTTTTGCCGCGGAGCCCAGTCTCCATTCGGCTCGATGCTGGCCAGGAGAGAGTGTCCTAGACACCTGCGGACCTGGAAAGCAAGTGCTTGGGCGCACGAGCGACTGCCCCTGCCCTTCCCTGGGACTCCGAGTCGCTTTGCCCGCGAGCTGGCAGTGCCGTCCGCAGGCGTGGTGAGCAGAAGGTGCCAAAAGCGCAGGAGAAGCGGCCAGGAGGCCACCAAAAGACGGCGCAAGAGGACCCCACCAAGGGAGCCCCAGGGCGTCCCCGAGAGGCCCCCCCACGACGGCCTCCGAAGGGGCCCGAACGGCGGGCGCCGCGGCGCCCCCAGGACGGCCCAGGAGGCCCGCCCAGGGGGCCCCCCCGGCGCTGGCAGCGCCCACGTGCGGGCAGAGCGACACGGCACCGCTTCGAGGCAGACGGGCAGGGCAAACCAGCAAGCGCGCCCAGCCTTCGCGTGCTCCGGGCGCGCACCCCGCGACGCGAGAGGGCATCGCCTGGACGCTCCGTGCTCCGACGTCGCTCTCCCGACAGGCCCGCCACGTGCGCCATGCCACGTCGCGAACCCGCCTTGGGAAGAAACTCTGAGCATAAATCTGCTCCATTCTGACAACCTACCAGACCACCCCAACCCAACCCGAAGACTCGAATTTGACCCGAATTTCGGGTTGGGGGGGTACGGGGACCATGTGTTTTTTCGATGGTTCCCGATCCCCCCCCCCCCACACTGGAAATGGAGGGCAAATTGAAGCCTTCGGATTGGGGTGGGGTGGTTTGGTGGGTGGTGACAAACCCCAAGCACTTATCAGCATGGACGGAGCCCTGACCAAAGGCTTCAGCCTAAGACTGCGCCGGCATTCCTGCAAGCCGCTTGAGACAACAACTAATCGCTTCTCGACACTGATCCTTATCCTCCTCCTCCTCCTCCTCCTCCTCCTCCTCCTCCTCCTTCTCCCCGTCCTCCTCCTCCTCCTCCTCCTCCTCCTCCTTCACCTCATCCTCCTCGTCATTATCATCGTCACCCCTGTCCCCACTCCTCTTACTTATCCTTCTCTACCGCATATCTGAACTTAACTCATATCTCCTTGCTTTCGCAAAAACTGGGTCGACCCTTTGATTATTCAACTGTAGCGAACGGGTGTCGATTGCCGGGCCACTTCGTCAGGAGACATCGCGTCCGCAATGAAGGACGAGACCCGCCTCTCCTCCCCATCCTCTGTCTCCCTGTCACTCTCCCACTCATTATGTCCCTCATCCACCATTCCTCCTCATCATCCTACTTTCCACTCCTTCTCCTGATCGTTCTCCCTCCCCCGGTCTTCTCCCCCTCGTTCTCCCACTGCTCTTTCCGTCTCTCATCTCATACCCATGTTCCCCAGTCGTACATGATCCTGGTCCCCATCGCTTCGGCTTGGTAAGAAGCAAAATCATACGCTCTCACGTCTAGCCTGAACGAAAGTGTTGTCGAGACATTACAAAAGTCGTGTAGGGAGTTAGACGTGGCGCACGTCGCGCGCGGGAGAACGAGATGTCGCTGTCGCTTCAGCGTCGCGCCCACTCTCTAAAAGGTGAGCTCGTGCGACATCGCCAGCGGCGGGGCCGCGCGCGGCGGGGCGAAGTGTCGCCCCCGCCGAGGCACCGAGCAGACTTCCGCTGGAAGTGGCGCTCCCGCTCTGGCGCAGCGCATCTTCTTCGCCAGCCCCGTCGTGGGAAGCGGCGCGCCAGCAGAGCTCGCCTGAAAACGGCGCTGCCGCCTCGGCGCGGCGCCTGCTCTTGTCTCGCTGGTCATGTCGAGCACCTGGCTGCGCGCCCGAAGGCCGGATGGGTGCGTCCGCCAGGGCGCCGCGCAGCGGTCTGCTCGAGCTGCGCTCCCGCCGGGGCGCGGCGCGCACTCTCCTGCGCCCTGTGGGCCGTCCGAAGCGGGGCCGCGCGCGAGCGCTTTGCGCTCTCTGGTTGAGAGCGCGCGCCTGTCCTGGTACCCAGTGGCTTGCCGTCGCTCGGACGTCCATTTCCCGTGCATTTTTCGGTGTCGTGCGTGTTTTTTTTTTTGCTCGATGGTCCAGGATGGTCTTCAAGGGTCCTTGCCGAGAGAAAAATACAC